GTTGCGTGGGGTAGTCCAAGAGGAGCAACATTTGAAATGCGTTGGATTTCATGAATGACGGCATTTGTGTAGGGCAAGTTCTCTCTATCTTCATACTTCAGGCTTGCATTGTTTCCCAGAACAGCATCTATCTCCTTCTGGCATTTTTCTGAGGAACCAAGAACTCAGTTACCTTCTGGAAAAAATTTCATTGACTCTATGTAGACATGTTTGGCATTCTTCCCATCAAAGTGCCGAGCAGAAGTGATGAGATTGTAGCTCACTGAATTCCCAGCCATGATATTGACTCCCCATTCAGGACCCTTCCTCATTTGCATTATAAGTGAGGGTATTACTCTTACTAGTCAAGGAGACAATTTCATAATTCTTTACCTTGGATCTCTGGGAAGGCCATCAAATAGAGGAATCCCCATAGAAGCGTTCCTGCCATTGTCTCTGTTCCAGCCAAGAACAGGTCACACAATAAGACTCGTAGCTGCTCGTCTTCAAAACTGGAACTTTTCCTCTCTGCCTTTGGAAGTTAGAATAAAGAAGTTGTTAAAATCAAATGGAGAAAGGATCTTCTCCCACTCATGTCTTCTTTTTAATACAGTTGATAACAGCAATTTAAACATGGGTTTTCTTTCTGAAAAAATATTCCTAAAAGGGGAAAGGAAGTAGGGAGAGGAGAAACCGGCATGTTCTTCCAGTGACAACCCATCATGATAGAAAAAGTTCAGGGAGAGCATGAGGGTGCCCCAGAGATCCCCCAGAGCAGGCAAAGGGCCGTTTCTTCCCAGTCTTCCCTCTGCTGCATCTGGATGGAAAGATCTATGTTAGGTGACTCGGTTTGCACAACATGCAAAGCAAGGGCACATAGCTGCGTTCACACATCATGTCCACCAGGAAAAAAGTGAATAACATCTAGAAAAGTCACTGTATCAATGTTTTGGGGTTTTTTTACTTTTATGAGGCGTAATGTCAGACTAAACAGATTCAACATGAGGGGAAAAGAAAACAATGCAAAGTCAGCAACAAGAGACTGAGAAAT